AATACAATCATTTTAGGTGTTTTCACAAAACAGTCCTTGTGAAGAAATTGTAACTTCTGTCTCAACTAATGTTTATACCTGCAAAAACTCTGAAGCCATTTTGGGACTCAGTTTAAGATTTCATACTAATTCTGAGTGAGGGACAGGTAAAGAGGTTTTTTTTGTGTGTGTACAAAACATTTGTAATTCATTTTTTCAAATTATGCTCTTTAGTAAACTCAACACTAAGCAAAGCCATCAGCAAGAGAAGATGAACTGTCCTTGCACAAACCCTTCCTAAGCCCGTATAAAACCTATTCCAGCTAAACTGAAACCATTCAGAGCAACGGATTTCATAAAAATCTTATTCTAATTTTCTTAGGTTGTATTTTCAGGGACACTTTCATACTACTCAAGCCACCACTGCTTCCAAAAGGAACTGTCCAACCTTCTCTTCCCAAACTTTGTATAGCCAGTAAACACACTCATGCAAGGAACCTGACAGAGGAGCTAGGTTAAAAACAACCTATCAAAACAATGCTGGCATTCAAATTGATCATTTTGGAAAGAAAAAAAATGAAAATGTTCAGAAAAGTGCTCCATTTTGATATTTTCTGATGGACACAATTTTACATTTTGGTTTAAAAAATGTTTTTCAGTTCTCTCCTTTCTTGCTAAAGTAAATATAAATTGAATATAAATTTTAAGATTAAAAACCACATCAATTAGCCCCAAACCATTTATTTTCAAAGCTTTTTTTTTATATGAAAGGCTTTCAGCATCATCAGAGAGACGTGAGAATTTCAAAATTATTCACCAAATGAAATCTCTCATGCAGGCAGTTTAATGAAATTCATGCAAGTAGTAATCAGGCGTACCACTAAATGGGGAAAAAAAAGGTTATCTCTATTTATCACCAAGTGGTTCAAACACCTGGTAGACATAATGTGCTAGGACGTCAGATAGTAGTTTTTATCTCTAGCTATAGAAAGCCACAAGCGATTTAGTTACTGCTTCAGTAGCACAGCTCCCCAGCTGTGAAATATTTCACTGCTACAGTGAGGTGGGAATTAATTCATCACTTTTTATGAGAATTTCTGATACTACAATATTAAGTGCTATGTATAATCTCTTAAATAGAATACAAGAAGCCAAATACTCAAAAGGAATACAGCTTAAGTTAAAAATGCACCAATATTTTAGGAAAAGAAAAAAAAATCTCTTTGGAATAAAATTCAACTTTCTTTGCTTCTTCAGAACTGCCATTGTTACAATTGCTGTGCTAAAGTACAAAAAGCAGAACACAAGAAGCCACTGTGCAAACAGGAGATGGGAATTTTGCTGACAAAATTAATCTGTATGTTCAGTTCTCACAGGTCTTATCTGGTTTCTTTATAATATGCTGCAGCATTAGATCTGTTCTTCTGCACAGTCTTATTGTCACTGTCCCTCGCTGCCAATGAAAGTTAAGTACATATTTGAACAAAGAGGTATTTTAGGACTGATATAATGTCCTTGTTTAGCCTCAGGAAAAAAAAAAAAAGACAAGTGGGGTGAGAAAAACACTAAGAAAAGGAAACACCTTTTTTCAGGACAACCAAGCACTGCTTCTACGTAAACCATGTCAAATGACATATAAAGTGAAAACAACTTCAGGGCATCACACATTTTCATTTGAAAAATAACAGATCAGCAGTTCGGAGCCTGCACAGTTTCTGGAGGAGCAATGTTTCACATGGGGCAGAAAATAGGAAAAGGGAAACAAGAGATTCTTTAAAAAATATTGGGAAAAAAAAAAACAAAACAAAAAACAAGAGAGCTCAACATGTTCACAGTTTAATAACCTTTTTAGATCCTGCAGTAAAAAGCATAAAAAATCCAGCCATTTCTGATATTCTGCCAGACATAGTTAAAGAAGAATAAATCTTGCATAGTCACAGTACCCGAATGGACACCTCACTTTGTACAAAATCCATCAACCTGCTTATTGCTTTCTGACAATGAAATTAAAAATTACTAAACTGATAAAAAATCTGCCTCGTATTTAGTTCCCATATTATGCACAAAGATGTCCTTTCTCTAATGAATTGCTAGTTACAACCTTCCCAAAGCAGGAAGCATCTCTGTAGTGTCAAACAACTCTAAAATTTGGAAGTGTGAAGACTGTGCACTTAAAGAAAAAAAAAAAGTACAGCGAAATACAGTCTAAAAGAATTAACTGAACTATTACTACTTTTCTGTGGGAATACATGTTAACTCCACTGAAGAGATGATAAATTTGCTCCAGATCAGGCCTACCTATTTGGACTGATCTGCAGCGTATTCAATATTTGAATAGTACTAATGCAGGAAGAGGCTGTGCAATCAATGCAAGCAACAAGCTAAAAATCAGGTAAAGTCAGAGAAGCTGGCCCCAAAAAGAAAAATCTCCTACAGATAAACTTAATGGTTCAAAGAGTAAATACAACCAGATTTTAGGTCCTCGTCATAACTGAAATAATACAAATACAGTGACTTCACAGATTTACACTGATTTACTGAGAATCTAGCTGAAATTATGAATTGAGACCACTGACAAACGGACATAGTGGGCACTAGAGGCAACTACAGCATCCAGAGGAAAACCCCCAGTGATGTTTAACTTGCTAGTATTGTCACCTGCCTTTATACAAGAGTAAGACAAAGAACCCTCCTTCTCAAATGGAAAATGTATTGCCTTCTTTCAAGGGTTTCTGCTCTTGTATCTAACCACTATGGCTAAATCAAAGCCATAATGCACACTGACCTAAAGGAAATTCTAAGAGAAACAAAGCATGAAAGATTTCATTCCAAGCATCGCTAATGACTGCTTACATGCTGTAATCTTCCTTCCACACTATTTCTAATCTTACTCATTTAAATCTGTTTCTCAGTTTGAACTTCCATGCAGTGAACATCCACCCCTGTGCCCAATACTGAAAAGCCCATATTCCTGTTGGTTCGAAAAACAAACTCATCAGCCTGCATATCTGAAGTAACTGGACAAGGCCTGTCGGCTAATATTCAAGTCTATAACCACAAGCTAACAGAGATTTTGCCATTTAGGGACAATTCCTGAGTACAGTAGTCAAAAAAATTGGGTCATCACTCAAGAAGTCCACAGCTGCAGCAATGGCAGTAAGAAAAAAATCATAGAATCATGGCCAAATGCAAGACTAAGATCCTTAAGATAGCTTTGTGCTCTCCTAAACTGTTCCCATGTATATCACAGCTGTTGACCCTGTAGTGGAGACTTGCCCGAATGCTGCTGCTCAGCCAGCACCTTCTCTGAGAAGAAATCACTAACTCATCCTTGATGCGAGAAACTGAAGTTTTCAAGTTAAGTCAAAGCTTAGGGTTTTCATTTTATGTACTTCATAAGAGAGCTCACTACCATAAACCTGCCACTGAGTACACCCCTGTACAATCAGAATATTGTAAAATGTCTTTCTAGGTCATAATAGAAACAAGTGGAGAACACTAAACCCTTACATCAAAGGGTGCTTTCTAACTCTCCTTAAAATGTGAAATGGAAAGTGATATTTAAGTATGCGCTAAGTAACAACCCACTTTTCCCCAGTTCTGTAAGCGTAATGTTCGTTTCTCCATTCAGTTTGAATTTTTAAGGTCCTGAGACTAGTTTCCAGTAAACAGTGTCACAGCAAATGCTGACCACCACTAAAATTCAAGGCTGCAGGACGTAAGGCCTCCTTCCACCTCTCCTTGTAGAACGGACATTTTGTTCCTACATTTATAAACCAGTTTGTTTCCAATCAGTTACGCCCTTAGGCTTTTTACTTTGTTCAGCTTGGAAACTGGAAACAATAGACAGGTTTCACTTCCTGGTTCCCTGCTGCAATATTTGTATTAGAAAACAATGCAAAGGAACTTTCAAAACCAATCACTTTAATTACATGGTAAATAACATGTTAGATAATTTGTACTGAATCAACCTTTTCAAAATCTTCTTTTAAAATAAGACTAAAATAAAATAAATACTAAAACACTAAATGATAGAGTATATATTACAAGCAACCTGAAAATGCAATGATTTTCAGCTGCTGGGTGAACAATTCTACTCCACTGAAAATGGAACTGAAAACAGAAGTTGTCTTTTCCTTTAGCAGGAACAGGCTGAGTAGTGAGGTGGGAAAGCACTTTTCTGAGTGATTCCACAGCCTGGGGACCATCTGGGAATCTGATCCTGCAGCCAGACCCCAAGCATGTACAGGGGAGAACCCATGGCTGTGGGAGTGCTGCTTGCCCTGTGTAATAAAATTCAGATAAAAGAGAGAGACAAAGCATGTCCTGTTAACACCTTTCTAAGTAAAGGCAACTAACAGCCAGGGAAACAAAAAGGATGTGTGCTCAAGCTTTTACATAATTTCCTTTTGAAAGCAAATACTACAAACACTGAAATACAATTTTAAAACATGTACATGCAGAGTCCGAAAGCTCAGAGACTGTTAGAAACAGTATTTAAACTAACATTCAATAAAAACATTTCCCAGCCTCTTCAACTATACTGACTGACATTCCACTTACTGTCTCAGGAATTTGATTTGGTCATTTGCAGTCTTGCATTTGTCACAGGACTAAATACAGCTCGGGTGAGAAAGGTGCTGATGTGTAATTTGGCCTACTTGTTATTAAAATTGTAGCTTTCCCTATTTTTTAACATGAATTAACTTTGTATCATACATTGATGCCTTTGCTGCGTTTCTGTTAAGTTTAGGTACAGCAGAGATTCTATGTATTCACAAATAATCAAGGAGTAACAGTGAAACTTCACAGAGCAGCACCCAGAGGAACGAGCCTCTGACAACTAGGACCACCTTTCTGATCACCTGGCTCAACACCTCTTCCTCGGTTCATGTTTGTGCCAAGGCAGGTGATTTACTGAGTCTCCTTGCAAGAAGAAACAAAAATGCCTGCCTTGGTACTGAACCACTGCACCTCACTGCAAGAAATTAAGGGAGTCACTACTGTGGGAAAAAAAGTACCTTTTGGAGCCTCCAATATAGGTGAAGGTAAAGGTGGAGTCTGAGTACCTGAAATCTGAAAGACAAACAACTGTGTTATTACAACTTGTCTTTATTTTGGCTGAATTAGGCGGGTTTTACGGACCCGCATCCCGGTTACCGACCCCGGGGTGGGCGGAAAGGGGGTCGGGGTGAACGGGGGAAGCTGCAGCATCTCCCCCAGGCCCTCGCAACAAGTGCCGGTGCTATGGCAACGGCCGGGATCTCCATTGTCGGGAACGGCAACAGGCAGCAGCCAGGCACGCTCCTGCGGCGGATCACCGAGGAAGCCTCGAACCCCCGAGGAATGGGTGGGAAGGGACGTTCGTAACGGGAAAGAGGCACGTTCACTGCCGGCCCTATTGCCGGGCGAGCGCGGGTGAAGCCGGGCCACCCGGGCGGCAGCGGCGCAACGAGGAGCGGCATCAGGAGCTGCGCCAGGCAACGGCAGCACGCACCCGCACCAGCGCGGCTCTGCGTGCGGCCGCGATCGGGATCCCCCCTCTCGCCGTCTCAGCTGGCCTCACATGCTCTCGGAAAGACTGGAGAGGAGGAGGAGGAAGGGAACGGAGGGCCGGCACACGCGGGCACGGCGGCAGCCCCCGCTGCCAGTAACGGCGGCGAAGGGCACGGGCACCACGGGGGGAGCGCGGTCCGGGGCGGGCGGCGGCAGCCTCCTCGCCGCCAACCTGGCGCCCGGGATTGAAACTCACCTGCAAACAGGCAGTCCTTCTCCGCCTTGCACTTTTGGATCACAACGTCAATATCCTTCTGAATCCTCTCTTGTCTTGAACACATCCCCATGAAATAAATCCCGGGGGGGGGTGGGGGGTGGGGAAATAAAAAGCAGCCTTTATTTCCACACACCCCACAGCCCGGGCTGCCAGCTTTTAATACTCGGTCCGAAAGACAGACCCCGGGGCTGGCGAGCGGCAGTCTCCCCGGCGGCCCGGAGGAAGCCGCTCGGCCGGCTGGAGGACGGGGGAGGAAGACGGCGGGAGCCGATGTTGCATGCCCAGATGTGCCCGCCCAGATGTGCCGCCGCTGCCGGCGAACAGTAATTTCCTCACAATGGATCCAGCGAAAGGGTGGCGGCGGCGACACGGGATCCCCCACCTCCCCACGCCCTCTGGGGTTTTGGGGTTGGTTGGCTGGCTTGGTCTTATTTAAAAGGAGGGAGGAGGGAGGGAGGGAGAGGAAAAGGGGGGGGGGGGGAAGGGGGCGGAGGGGGGCCAAGGCGACCCGACGCTCACATCCTGGCCCCTCCCGCCGGCAGCGGCGATGGCCGCGCAGCAGCAGCGCGGACGGACGGCGGGGGAGTCCGCACCCGGTCCTGGTCGGCGCGGCGGGGCCGGCGCTGCTGCAGAGACGCTGAGCCGCAGACACTCCCCTCGCTGCCGGCCCGGCACGTACGGGCCCCGCCGGCTCCCCCGCTGGAGGCGGCGCGGAGAAAGGAAGAGGCGGATGCACAGAGCAGTGCGGGCGGACCGGGAGGCGGCGGGATCGATGGCACAGGCCCCGCCGCCGGCCCTCGCCTCCTCCCTCTTGCCCCGGCCCTGGGCATAGGCTGCCGCCACCTCCCCACCAAGTGATCCGGGTGGCGGGGCAGCCCTGGGGAGGCAGCGGGCAGCGCCGCGGGACAGGAGCGCTTCTCGGGCCCGGGCGGAGCAGCGGGGCCGCCTGCCGCTGTGTCCCGAGGGACACACGGGTAAGCCGTGCAGCGGGGCCCTTCCCGGCCGCCCTCCGCGGTCGCTGCGGCTGCCCCCGCCGGCGGCTGCGCTCCTGCCGGGCCCAGCGGGCAGAGCTACTGTGCCCGGCCCTTCCTGGGCAGGGAGCCCGGCAGCAGAGCCTCGGCAGCCTGCCCTGCCGAGCCCTGCCCGCCTCCGCCCCGCCCTGCCCACGGGGATGCATGCTTGCCGGGACAGTGAAACAAAATTAACGGGTCCCTAGTCCCTGTGCGCCCACCGCGGGTTTTAATCGTGCCCCTGTCCATTCAGTCTCTCAAACCCAAGGGAGAGGACGCTGTCGGTTTGTCGGTATGGTGCCTCACAGTTGGCGCTAATCCAGGCTTTGGGCACTAACGAGATAGTAGTAATAACCCTAAAATAACTCAGAAGGAGTAGCCGAGTCTGCAAAAATGAGATTTTTTCATCAAAGGGCAAAGCGAATAATTAATAAAAATGGGTGTGAGTGTAGTAGAAACAAATTGATTTAAAAAAAAATGAAAGAATATTTGCAAAATAAGGTTTTTATGTTTTCACCGGGTCCTAAAGATCTCCCATGGATTATTCATTATTGAGCTCTGTTGTTTTAGTGTTTTTTCATTTAGCAAGTCTGCATTGATCATGTATTGTTGTTTTCAGACACAAGAACACAGTCATTATTTTCTTGTTCATACATGGAAATGGCTAAAACTGTGAGTATAAAAAGATTCTATATTTATTCCTATGTTGATAAGATTCTGTGTCTGAAGGAGGGAACAGAACGGAAATTACAATACATCATGTGATAGGACTTTCTGCTTCTAAGAAAGTAATTTAACTTGAAGGGAGATTTCCAGATGACTTTTCAGTTCTGAAGTTGTACAAGAATGCTTTCATGTCACTCTGTCCTTGGGTAAAATTTGCATATGGTTAGGAACAGGGTTTTTACCATAACTGCTCACTTTTTTTTCCCTGGTACTTTGCAAATGGGGAACACCTCTCTAGTGTTTTTCAGCAGAAGATACCAGTTCTGTATGAGCAATCTGATCTAGTGGAAGGTGGCCCTGACCATGGCAGGGGGGTTGGAAATATATTAGCTTTAAGTGCCTTTCCAACCCAAATCTCTCTGATCCTACTGCATCAAGACAATTCCAAGGCAGGACATGGAACATGTCACTGTAGTCAGAAATAGAGTGTAATATTGTAAGACACTGTCATTTAGTCAAGTTACACCACCTCGGTCAACAAGGGATGCTTTTCTAGAAGTTTTTTCCTAGATATTCAAGACGGGACATCAGCAGCCATGCTTGATGCCTTCCCCTTAATCATTGTTAAAAGATGCAGTCAGAATTTGATTTATTCTGTTGGGCTTTTAGTCCTGAACTTTGTAGGGAATGGTCCCTGTTATCCCTCCTATGTGGATCAGGAAGTGGGAAGTGAGGGTTATTAGATAGTTACAGGTATTCGTGCTGACAATTCTGCTCACAGCTTAACCTGACCACAGGGTTCCCAGTGTCATGTCAATTAACATGATTTTTTTACCACCTTTTTAAGCCTCACACTATTTTCATAGGCTTGGTAACAGTGAAGTCATCCACAAAGAAACACTGCTGTCTTCAAGAAGACTAATATGGCTGGTACCTGGTTTCACAGCATCAACTGGATAGAACAAGAAGTCTGGAAATATGGTTAGTTATTTATTCCTTTTATTGTAAGTAAGTGGCTCTTAAATTTCTGGGTTTTTAGCCAAATTGGATTTACTGATGACTCTAGTAGTTACAACAGGAATGGCTGATTTTGGTGAGAAAAAGATAGATTAAGGTCATTCTTGTGGTTAAAATAGTTAAAATTGAAGTGTTAGAAAATCGGAGTGGATCTTTACAGTTGATCCTTATATTTGTGAAGACTGACAAGCTGCTGACATCCAGGGACCCTAAGTGTTATTGCAACAGTATCTGAATGCGTGCTGTTGTCCCTATAATGATGTCCATTATAGCACCCACCCTCTTGAAGAAACTCTCTGAAGAGCTTTACAAGTAATTTCATGAATGATAGGACAGTTGGTCTTGGAAGTAATTGTCTTCACTCAAGGGAATTCAATATATGTCTTTCCAATTGCTTTTTCAGCCTGGAAAATTGGCTCATGTCATTTCTAGTTTTGTCCCAGGCTCAGCTCAGATTGTACTGAACTGATTACCCCAATTAAGTGAAAAAATAAACAAAAAACCACAAGTAACTTTTATGTTTGCATCCCTGGGAACCTGAAAATATTTACAGTGGTGTAAATAAAAAAGAAATTGAAATCTGTGAAGCTACATGATCATAAAATATATGTGAGAAGATTGGCTCAAAATGGAATGGGGAAAATTATCTACAGAGAGAGAGAAAGAGCATGGTGAAAGTGTCCAAATAATGTGTAAGCCGTGACTGAGAAAGTTATTGAGGAAATGCACGTCAGCCGATTTCTGCTCATAGATGGGTTCTGCCTGCTTCAGACTGAGCAGATTTTTTTTTATTTTAAGCCAGAAAAATCTCTTTCCACCTATTAGTAAAGCTGTTAGAAATGATTCAGTAAGCATCAGGGCACCCTGTTCTGTTCCCAGTTATCTTCTTTATGTATTTTTTAAACATGTTCCTGTTATATGCAAACACATACTAGAAGTCCTAAGAAAAATGAAAACATGCAGATTTGCCATTGTAGAGAATGTACAGCATTCAGGGCAATCTGATATGGCATCTGTCAAGTTTTTTGAATATGGGAGAGTATTCAAAAGGACAGAGATAACAGAAGAATGCAAAACCCTCCAAAGCCCAAAATTGACATCAACCTTTCAAAACAAAACCAGAATCCTGTCTCCACTTTTATGTTCTACAGACAAAACTCTAGTACAAAACAAACTAAACCTCTGCCTTTCTCCAAACTCAAGGACTTTTTGCCAGTTGCCAGTACAGCAAAGCTCCGTGATGTCTGTACATGATGAGCTCTCGAAAGTGGAACGTTTAAAGCATCAATACTGTTCCATTCTTGCAGCATAAAGCACAATGCTACCCTTCCAGTAAGCCACCTCAAAATGACAGTCATTTCTAAATGACACTGTGGCATTAAAGTCTGAAAACACAGGCACTATGTTGTGAGAGATGTAGAAGAAGCTCTTACCTGTTCCCACCAAAAGAGCAGTAACATAAGGAAAATGTTAAAGATTTAAGCATGATTTTCACTATAACACTATTACTAGGAGTTACAATCTAATATTCTGAACTAATGTTCAAGTAAATACTCTTAAGGTTCATTATCTAATCCTGTTTCAGTTTTAGACAGATACAAAGTCAACTGTCCTCTACACCATTGCTCTGTTGTCCATCCGAGTAGTCATTGCCACTCTTTGTAGCCACCAATCCTTAGCCAAAGCAGACCTTAATAGAATACAAAGCCACTCAAATCATGATTATGATTTATTTTATTAAAGGTATAGATAGATATTTTAACAGGTATTTTATTGAAGTTGTGTAGATAGGTGCCTTTGGGCCATCTCTCTAAATCTGTCATGACTTGGATTAAAATACACCACGTGGTGGACCTATCATTATTTTAAGGGAATTTTACTGTGACTAAAGCGCCTTAGCTGATTTTTTTTTGAGTAGATTAACACTGGTGAATGATAAAAAGACTTTACTTTTTAAAAAAGAATGGCAGTTAAAATGTAATTAATAACACTACTGCTTAATGCTTAACAAAGCTTTAAATATTTTTGTGTGATAAAACCTGAAGTAATAATTTAGATTACAGTGCAAAACAATAGCTTAAACCATCACCTGTCCAATTCTTCATGAGATTTTTTAAATTATTTTAAGCTGCCTCATCCAGTGTAGGGGGTGAAAAACCTTCAGCTGACATATTTTAACATTATGTATTTTATTTGCTTTTTTTTTTTAATGAAGGGAGAAAAAAATAAAAGCATTTATTTACCAGAGGACCAAGGCTTACTTTTTCAATTCAGTGTTGAAATTTCAAAAGCAGTTGTATTTATTTTTAAATAAAAATTAAATATATACTATATATATGTATATAAACCAGCAGCAATAGTCACCTCAAACAAAACAGAAGGATGTCCATGTACAGTTGTTACACACAGATGTGTGACCTCTAATTTTATATCAGAGATCAAGTACTCATCCTTCCAAATGTCACTGATGCCCACACGCACTAAGCCAATGGCTGCTGGCATGATAAATGCTCCTAGCAGTGTTCCATAAATCATGCAATCAGAGTCCCAAATGACACCACAATTTATTGTAGCTCTTTGCATTACACTTTCTAATGATGGTTTTACCTTGTTTTTTCTCCTTCACTAATGTCATCTCATCTTTCAGTCTCTGCCTATGAGCCTAATTTCTCCTATTCCTTTTTCCTTTCCTCACTGACTCTTATACCATTAAGACCTTTTTTTGCTAGTGCATCTCATTATTCCCTCTTTTCAACTCTTCTGTCTACCCCATCCATTTGTTTTCCCTCTTCCACCTAACCCTTGGCATCTTCCTTCATGAGCAGCTCAAGGAAGATGGCTAAAATGGAGTTTTCTCTACAGAAAGAGTTTTGTAAGAGAGGCAAGCAGGAATATTTTTAAACATTTTATCCATGACGTTCTGATGCCAGTCAGAAAAAAATCCAGAAGGGGAACCCTGTGTTTCCTGCCAGCTCCTGAAGTGAGTTGCCTCTTGCCAGCATCCTCTTTATTTCCATGAATCACAGACATTTCTGTCTGTGCAATGGCAATGCTCAGTAAGGCAAGCAATGGCACCTCCATCTCAATTACTCTGGTAGCTAGGATATTTCTCCAGAAGTTGAGAGTTGTGAGCATATACT